AATCCATTTGTTGGATTTCTGGTTGATTTTTGGTTTTTTTGTGTTGTGATCTAAACTTTTAGAGGTTGGGTTTGTGGTGATGGACATGAAAATTAAAATACAGCAAATTAGATACAAAAAATTAGATACAACAAAATAAAATACAACAGATTATTGGCTCTAGAGAATCCATTTCCTCAACAATACTCTTCTTTTTTTAATGGTTGAAGAGTAAAATAGAACTTTTTAAGGTCATTTTATGGAGAAAAAGAGGAGGTTGTGATCTAAACTTGGAGAGGTTGGGTTTGTGGTGATGGAGGTGAAAATAAAAATACAACAAAATTAAATACAACAAAATAAAATACAGCAGATTATTGGCTCTAGAGAATCCCTCTCCTCAACAATACTCTTCTTTTTTTAATGGTTGAAGAGTAAAATAGAACTTTCTTTTCTCCATAAAATGATCTTAAAGAGGAGATTGTGATCTGAACATGTAGAGATTTGGTTTGTGGTGATGGATGTGGCAAAATAAATGGATGATAGTGGTGAAATAAATGGGTGAAAATGGCAAAATAAATGGATGTTAATGGAAAAATAAGTGCATGATAGTGGCAAAATAAGTGGATGATAATGGCAAAATAAATGGGTGATAGTGGCAAAATAAACAGGTGATAGTGACAAAATCAATGAATGATAATGGCAAAATCAATGAATGATAATGGAAAAATAAATGGATGATAATGGAAAAATAAGTGCATGATAGTGGCAAAATAAGTGGATGATAATGGCAAAAAAGTGGATGATAGTGGCAAAATAAATGGGTGGTAGTGGCAAAATAAATGGGTGATAGTGACAAAATGAATGAATGATAATGGAAAAATAAATGGATGGTAGTGGCAAAATAAATGAATTATAGTGGCAAAATAAATGGATGATAATGGCAAAATAAATGGTGATAGTGGCAAAATCAATGAATGATAGTGGCAAAATAAATGGATGGGAGTGGCAAAATAAATGAATTATAGTGGCAAAATCAATGAATGATAATGGCAAAATAAATGGTGATAGTGGCAAAATCAATGAATGGTAGTGGCAAAATAAATGAATGATAATGGCAAAATAAATGGATGGTAGTGGCAAAATAAATGAATTATAGTGGCAAAATAAGTAGATGATAGTGGCAAAATAGATGAATGATAATGGCAAAATCAATGAATGGTAATGGTGAAATAAGTAGATGATAGTGGCAAAATAAATAAATTATAGTAGCAAAATAAATGAATGATAATGGCAAAATCAATGAATGATAGTGGCAAAATAAATAAATGATAGTGGCAAAATAAATAAATGATAGTGCCAAAATAAGTGGATGATAGTGGCAAAATAGATGAATGATAATGGCAAAATCAATGAATGATAGTGACAAAATAAATGGATGAAAGTGGCAAAATAAGTGGTTGATAGTGGCAAAATCCGTGGATGATAGTGGCAGAATAATTGAATGTCAGTGCCACATGGAAAGCGTGACGGTGCCACGTGTCCCTTTGCTGTGCTGCAGAGGAACGACATCGCCATGGCCATCACCAAGTTCGACCAGTTCGATTTCCTGATCGATATCGTGCCCCGGGACGAGCTGAAGCCCCCGAAGCGCCAGGTGAGCCCCAATCCCGAATTCCCCGCCTTTCCCTGACTCCGGCCTCGGGGAAACTGAGGCACTGCAGCAGCGATGGGAATGGCAGCTTCGTGCTCTGATTGCTGTGGGACTCAGGTGGGGAAATCCGCCATTTCAGGCTTTTAAATTGTTTCGTTTTAGGGGGTTAAATGGTTTAATTGCAAGTTTTTTAATGGTTTAATTTCCGGTTTTTAAATGCTTTAATTCAAAGTTTTTCAGTTCTTTAATTCCAAGTTTTTAAATGGATTAATTCCAGGTTTTTAATTTCTACAATTCCAAGTTTTTAAATTCTTTAATTCCAAGTTTTTCATTTCTATAATTCCAAGTTTTTAAATTCTTTAATTCCAAGTTTTTAAATTCTTTAATTTCAAGTTTTTAAATTTTTAATTCCAGATCTTTAATTTCTATAATTCCAGGTTTTTAAATTCTTTAATTCCAGGTTTTTAATTTCTACAGTTCCAAGTTTTTAAATTCTTTAATTCCAAGTTTTTAAATTCTTTAATTCCAAGTTTTTAAATGGTTTAATTCCAGGTTTTTCATTCCTATAATTCCAAGTTTTTCAATTCTTTAATTCCTTTTTAAATTTTTAATTCCAGGTTTTTAATTTCTATAATTCCAAGTTTTTAAATTCTTTAATTCCAAGTTTTTCAATTCTTTAATTCCAGGTTTTTAATTTCTATAATTCCAAGCTTTTAAATTCTTTAATTCCAAGTTTCTTAAATTCTTTAAGTTTCTAAACTCTTTAATTTCAAGTTTTTAAATTCTGTAATTTCAAGTTCTTAAATTCTTTAAATCCAGGTTTTTAAATTGTTTAATTCCAGGTTTTTATATTGTTTCATTTCAAGTTTTTTAATTCTTACACGTCAGGTCCTTAAATTCTTTAATTCCAAGTTTTTAAATTGTTTAATTCCAGGTTTTTATATTGTTTCATTTCAAGTTTTTCAATTCTTTAATTAATATCAGGTTCTTAAATTCTTTAATTTTAGGCTCTTAAATTCTTTAATTTCAAGTTTTTAAATTCTTTAATTCCAAGTGTTTAAATTCTTTAATATTAGGTTCTTAAATTCTTTAATTTCAGGTTGTTAAATTCCTTAATTCCAAGTTTTTTTAATTCTTACATTTTCAGGTTCTCAATTTCTTAAATAAAACTAAAACTCATAAATAAAACTAAAAACCACTGGGTTTTTTGTGGAAATAAAGAGATTTAATGGAAATCCCACCAGCCTGTCCAACAAACCAAACCCACTCCTGAACAATTCTGCTCCCGAATGGTGCCAGTGGGAAAAAATTAACTTGAAAATATATATATTTATCAGAACTTTATGATTTTTGGGTTGAAAAACGCCACTTTGGAATCTTTTGGGGCAGTCAGTGCCTCTGTAAACATCCTTGACTGGAAGCTGAAAGGGCTGGAAGGAGCTTTCAGTCGGATGTTTACAGCAGCAGGCTGCTGCTCTCAGCTCAGCAGTTTCACATTTCCTGCACCAAAACTCTGGGGTTTCCCCTCAGGACACTCTTCTGTTTTTTTTTTAAAAAAAAAAAATTAAAATAATTGTTAAAACAGCTCGTTTGCTGCTGCTTCTGAAGGTTTGTAATGTGGAAAAATCCAAATTTTCAAAAAAAAAAAAAAAAGAAAAATGGGGAATTTGGGACTTGGTGGAATATCTTGGCTTGGAAGTTTGTATCTTGAATATTTTTCCTGAATTTTTTCCTTAATTCCAGTCTAAATCCTGGATATCATGGAAAATTCTGTCTGTATAGAGCAGCACTGGAGCTGGATTCCTCATTCCTTTTCCTCCCAATTTCCTGCATCAAAACTCTGATTTTTCCCCTCAAGGCCCTCTTTGGATAATTCTGCTCCTTGTCCTACAATTAAAAAAAAAATCAATTATTAAAACAAATATTTCTGAAGGTTTGCAGTGTGGAAAAATC